GACTCGACAGACAGCTTATCCGACGAGAACAAATACCTTCACCGTGTTTTTACGAAGAACAACTACAACAACGACTTCATCCGACGAAACACTCACCGACCCACTACCACTACCGAAACAAACGACACCGCAACCCCTACGACTACAGCAACCATACCGTACATAAAAGGCATGTCTGAAAACATCTCGCGCATCTTACTACCCTTCAATATCCGCGTCGCCCACAAACCCATCACCACACTACGTCAGTTACTAACCAACGTTAAAGACAAAGACGAACCGAGGAACAGACAGGGAACGATTTATAAGATCAATTGTTCCGACTGCCAAGCCTCCTACATCGGTGAGACTGGCAGAAACCTCACAACAAGACTGACTGAACACAGACGGGCGACGAGGAAAGGTGATGTCAGCAATCACATTGCTGAACACCATCGACTTACCAACCACAACATTGACTGGGACTCTGCGCAATGCCTAACCTACAGCACTGACTATTTTCAACGACTGACTCTGGAAAGCTGGTTTACTAACTTAGAACAGACTCCCCTAAACAGATGTCAACAACTACCCGCTCCATACAAACGACTCATTCACGACATAAACATCACAAACGACCGAAAAAGAACGACCTAACTTTACCGACAGATCGAAACAGACCAATCACGACCGACTTACGTCACTTGAGTCTTACAGCCAATAACATCACGGCAAAACCAACCGATCATTTCACACGAACTGGAATAAGAACATTCTACTGACAACAATCATTCACTTGACTCTGATGATGACTTCCGCACAGGTTGTCGAAACGCCAGTCACTACCACCGACAACAGTCCTTCTCAGGACTACACTCACCCGGACGATCAGACTACACCTTCACATGTTACCCCCGGGTTCAAGCCATTTACTGCTTTAAATTTGTAATTAAAAAAAACTCAAACCTCTAGATCAGGTTCGGTTGTCATTTCAATCAAAATGTGATTTTACTAGTAATTCGCCCATCAAAGTTTCCCCCTCAAAACAAATTGCGCTCGATATCATATTAAACAATTATTTTGTTTGTTAGGTATGAGATGATAGATAGTAGGTAGGGCCAAGTTACCTAAAATCATTTCATATCCAACAAGCGCGAGTGGATTAAATGTTATATTTAAAACGCCCCAAAATATGAATAAATCTTCCCAACATTATTAAATGTTTTAGCTGCGTTTTAATTTTGAGCCGACGCGTACACTTGCCATATTCGTAGAACATGGTATAATGGCTCATAACCCATAATGGCTAAGCCAATGAAAACCTTTGAGTTACATTATCCATTGATCCAGTTTTTAATAAAAAGTTTTAAACACAGAACCCTTGCCACTCAATGCTTGAAAAGGAACTGAATTTTTGACGTGCGATTTTGTCTATTCGGCTGCTCGGAGGTGAATACTGAGTACTTGTTAGTCTCTCCTGAACCAGCCAATTACCGTACGCCAAAAGCACGATGCATCAGTTTGGTCTATACTAACAAAACGGATATTCGGAATTTGAGTGAACAATGAGAGCGCGCCTATATTGCTTTCCATGGTTTTAATCTATACTAATATGTAATTATATCTGGGCCATTGGAAGAACCATCCTTGAAAACAAGCATATTACATTCATATGCATACTCGATAAAACCCCCCTCAGTCGATTTCCTATTTTTAGAGCTGAGGTAATCTTTTGACTCAAATTACCCGATGGGAGGTTGCGTTTTCAGTCTCGTGATTAACAACACGATTCTCAGAATTAGCCAACATGTCCAACTGTTCATACTCGCTCAATAGCTGGACGATTGCGAAATTTCTCGTCGAAACAACTCTATCGCGTAAGTAGATTAACAAACACATGTTTCGCCAAAAGTAACCTTTCCGATTTATATTTAATATTCTAGAAACGTTTTGGCTTCTTCATCGTGCAAAGTTGAGTACTTTAAAACTATTTCACAGAGATTCAAAAATTTCCCACAGGTAATCGAAGATGTGCCCAAAAATGTATCTTAAAATGATTCATCTATCGGACTTGAAATGGAAATACATGTAGATTTTAAAGGCCTTACCTATAGAATTTTTAAGGATCCATGAATCGAATTTAGCTCACTATAATGAAAAATTTAGCAATCCAGAGCATTTCAATGCAACAAGAGAACTATGGAGTTAGATTCGTCCGTCACGAACATGAGACAAAGAAAAAATCTATTCTCGCTGAAGGTCTGATACCATATCTTTTAGCTGCAGAGAACCCACGCGAAGAAAAGGCTTCTAAATGAGTTCTTATGTATTAATATCTTATTTCGAAGTGAATTTTGGCCTTGCAAGCCCGCCACTGACTATTGAAATTTCCGGATATTCCCTTAAAGCATGCTTCCAAAAGTTGTCACGCTCGATGTCTCTGTAAACGAGATCAGTATTTATTCTCGGAAATTCCGGAAAATGTCCGCACAGGATGACCTATCAGTCAATGGATCGTTTCTCGGAATGATATCAGAATGTAACGATCATTTAATAGGGTCATTTGTCGGAGATGGAATAATGAAGATTTTTTTCGCAAGCAAAATGCCAAAAGTGATTGTTTGAGAAGAATACATAAGCAATTCCCACTACTTGTTCACAAGATGATTTGACAGCGAAACGAGGAAGGTTGGCGACGTTTTCTAAAAACAGTCTTTAAGAGAAATATCTTTTATCAAATCAAATAAAAATCTATTTTTTTCTTTCACTGAAACGTTTAACTTGATACAGATAAACGGGCTTTAACGGGTCAAAAATGTAAACAGAAGCTTCAGTTGGCGTCACTGAACTCAAGAGTCGTTTATGACTAGCATTGTTTTTACGCTATTTTTATCTTATGTGACTCTACATGTTTTTCTTCATGAAACTATCGCTAATTGTTCTACGTTCTTGATAAAATTACCTTAATCGCCATTTCATCGTCAATGCAACAAAATGATTCATGATTCTCGGTTTAGAAGGGTGATTTCCCTAAACCCACTTCTCCGTTTTTCAATATTGTGACGCATTGTCGCCTACCTCAATTAGAATCCTTATAGTCTGCAGCGTTTCCAGTAATCATTTACTAAATAAGGTCACTTAGTCCACTAATATCAAATATCTTACTAATATTCGGTTTGCCGCCTCTTGTTACAAAACTGAAGATTGATTTGTTGAGGTAAACTTGTGCATTCTTAAAATGAGTGTTATTTGGTTTTGAATTATCTTTACAATTCAGGTTTTAGACGGTCAACTTCGCTGAGCATTCTAATTCCAGTCTCGTGATGTCTAATAAACCATAAATTCTGGGTAGAGCGGAAGTTGATCATGTGATGACTTTGCCACTAACATACTTGTATCCAACTACAGAGTGGTGTTTCAGCTTCGGAGAAGGAGCCAGCCAATAGGAGAATCAGAATTTTTCTCTTACGAAAAAGCTGTCTTCCATGAAAAAGCGATAGAGATCTTCTTCTACTTAACAAAGGCCTGCAATAAAACTTAAGGTATGTGGGATTCTATCATTCAACATATCCAAACCCTTGAAATTTATCAATTGTCGTAAATTTTATGAACGGAACCCAAATATTTAGTTATCATTATTTACGTGCACGGGATGTTCACAGCCTCATGTTCTTTGAAATTTACCTTTGTTGGTAAGCGTTTTACAAACACTAAAGAAGCCATATTCAAATATCTTTTGTGTTCAGAGGAAACGTTCTACATATTTTTTCTGGGCTACACGAGTGTAACAAGGAAGGTTCAGTTGACCTTGACTGAGTTGAAAAGAGTATATTCATAAGGAATGAGAAGTGGTAGATTGTTAAGAACGCGAAGCCCTGAACTGGCAAGGCCCTAAAACTTCGAATTCCTTAGAATTGGGCTTTTAAAATATGCAGCTCTGTTGCTTCAGGGACATACTATCTCAAGTATAAATCTGCCTGACCTCAGGTTCATTTACGAAATTCAGGTTATTTATATAATGTTATTCATGATGTCTTGACAGATTCTCTTCCTTCTTTGGGCTAAGATGCAGAACAAATACCTATTACCATTGTTTGTTTTGTCGTGGTTGAACGGATGCGTTGCCCAAAAAATTCAAACAATCAACAACTGCACGTGTCAGACATCTGATGGTAGCTTTTACAGCTTGTGGCCCTTCAGAGGAACAGAAAAACCATAGTACGTCAAGCTTTTTCCAGTGCTTTCCATGACTTTTTTTATTATTATTTTTTTAAGGGAAGATGAAACGATGTTTCTAACGAGATAGTCATCCTTCTTATCAAGGATAATATTGAATCATATCGGTCACAATCACGGAGAATGGCGTTCATGATTATGAATAGTTCTCAAGCTGATCCCAGAAGATTCGTTTATTCGCACGGTGATCCTTCCGTTGCGAATGGGTTGCTCCTTCCAATATTCTGTTCAAAAGGTGGAGGACGCAAGAGGGGTTCTTACTAATCTTGTGACGTTCCTCTTTGTCGATAAAAGAGATGATGCAGAATGATGAAAACAACCTAACATGCCTCCGAATGAGAGTAAGATTTGAGCCTCCCTCCCGGATAATACCCTTGTACTTATGTTCTTATAGTTTATTTTTTTTTTTGTGGACAATAGCTTTACTGCTGTTCCTGGAAATAAGTACCCGAACTGGAGGTATGCTTACAATCCTTGTACTTCTCTGACATTTGGACAAGATGATCCAGATCCTAAAACAATATGTCATGATATCGGAGTAAGTTAACCAGACAGCCTTTCATTTCTAAACTTCAAAGTGTTATGTTGTCATTGCTTTTGTTCTGTTATGTCTATGACTTCAAGTCCTGTGTCCGATAATTGTAGCAAGTCAGCATTGCTAAATGAAGGTATGTTTTGCAAACATTTTTTCCTAAGTATACCGTGTTGATATTCTATTACATCTATTTTTGTAAGCACCTTTTTTACAGAAATTCCAATTTGAAACTACCGGAATCTAATTGTTCTATAATATTAGTTTAATTTGGTAAATTTCAATTAGATTTGTAAATATCCTAAAGAAGAAAAACCGCGGGAATACCATCAAGTTGGTGTGCAGACAGGTGTCAGTTGTGCACTAAACGCAGGACAGATTGAGCTGGTGTATAACACAAAGTAGGTATCTTTTGCAAACAAATACAAGTCCTCTCTTATGTTTAAATTGCCTTTCAGGCGCCATTTTAAATTTTATCATGTCCCAGCTAAGGGTTGCTACATTAGAAGCCGACATACCAGCCCCCTGAAGGGTTTTTTTTTCAATGAATCAGGTAGCTTGTGATCGAAAACTCTTCTTCTAGCGCTCAAAATATCTGACTTAAATCTGTCATTACCAATTTAGTATAGAAAAACAAAATTTAAAAGTACTTAACATTGACACATATCATTGCAGAGATAAGGCTATCGAATCCTCTATACATTCAAAGGTACAGCTTATTTGTGACGAGACTGCTTCAATTCCAGATTTTGAACCCAAGGATGAAGATAATTATGTTAGTAAGACTTGTCATTGTTGGTTTCTGGTGACTGTTTTTTTTTTTGGCAAAATTCTTGACTCTCTGAAAACGACGAAATCGTAGAACGTAGAATGGAGTTATTTTCTTTTCAGGTAAACATTTGCCATGCCTTGGACCTTAGAAGTGAAAGGCAAGATATAAGATTTTGGATAAAAACTCCTAATGACCTTTATCTTTATCGGTGGTTCCATGTTATTTCACTCTACAGATATTTACCATAGTAAGCAAGTGTGCATGTCCAAATCAATGTTGGCCTGAGTCCAAGACAACAAAAGCTCCTCCTACACCTAGTGTTGTTCCGGGCCCAACAAAAGTAATTACAACGACAACTTCAAATTCAACAGAACCCAGTTCTGAAGGTAATTGCTAATATTTTTGGACTGCACGTGGACAGTTTTTAAAATACCCCTTTCCGAAAAAACTTACCACTTAACAATCTTCCTTTTTCGTGCTGGAAAGGGGGAGAGGGGAGGAAAGCGACCAGATCAAGTGATTGAGTCATTGTCCATACATCCAGAAAATAGAAATTCAAGATCCAAATCATAACAGCCACCATGTTAATAATATACCGTTGATTCAATTAGACCTGGACTGCTTTAAGTGGTACAGTGAGTGCTCACGGTTAGTTATGATTGTTTCTATTGGCCTGTATCGCATCCGGATCTTTTGCTTTACGCAACGAAAAAAAGCCTCACCTTTAAACTTGGGAGCATCTTTTAGCACTGCTCAGCAACCAGTTGAATTGTCATTGCTATTTGAATTCTCATTTGGGAAAAACAGGTATTTTCACTGGAATTGAAAAAATGCTCGTCGATTGACTCGTCGCTTTCGTTGCGCTAAATAAAAAGAAAACTAGTTGTACATATGCTCTAGCTAACATATTTTAAAAAAATTGAAAAAAAATTAAGGACAATTTTTCTAACCCTAAAAATTTTTTTTTTCTGTAAACGTGAGAAAAGTACTCCACGGGTGGCGTTTTCTATGACTATCTAGCAGAAATTCATATCATGTTAATGAAGAAAACAAACGAGATTTCGACCAGAGTTAATTAAAACTTTTTGCTAATTTCAGATTCAAAAGTACTGAAATGGAAGTTGTACATTCTACTATCCGGTCTTACAGTAGTCCTCTTGCTTTGTTTTATATGTCTGTGGTGGCGTGTTGCTGCTGTTAGGGAGGCTCTGAGGTGCAGATACTACCATTGTTGTGGAGAGAATGTTGAACCAGACCATGAATACATAAACAATTTGAAAAAAATTGGGAAAACTAAACTTATCAAAAACAAAAATATCAACAAAACAAAATATAAGGCTGTTGAGGATATTAAGGGAGAAGACAAACTGGACAATCCAGTCCAAGAGGGAGACGTGGGAGACAAGACTCAAGTTGTTAAAAAAGATAACGTTTAATCATTAGTCTTGTAAAATCAAAGGCTCCTTGGAGCTACCTCATGGTATTTCTTTGTTATTTGATTGGGTAGTGTGCTTCGTCTACTATCCAACTAATAAGGGTCCGACTTGAAATGCCGTTTTGTTAGGGTAGTTTTTCCTACCCTTTTCTATATCCAACATGTAAAATCCCTACCCTTTTATACAAGCTCAGCTAAAAAAATTGGCACCCCCTTTGGGCAGAGCCTGTCAGTATAGTTTCCTATAGAGAGTTGCTGGCAACCCCACCGTTGGAGTCAGGCATAGTAGGCCAATACTGCAATAATATCAAAATTAATTGTAGCCTGAGTGCGAAGATGTGGGAAATGAAGGAAATACAGGTGTCACTGAGAACGGCTGGAAACTTTGTCATTGGCACTCGTTACTGTAATTGAGCAGTTAACCTTTGTTGTTGCCTTGCTAAGAGAAGGGAAAGTCGCATGAGTAAAAGTAGCTCCTTAAATGATCACTTGGGCATTTCTCCGTAGCGGCATCAAGCTGTAGATTCCTCCATCGAATGTCTTACAGGTACAATTGTTGACTATAGTAATACCCTGGCCAGTACAGTCATTGAAAACCATAACTAGAATGAGTCCTAAAAACTGTTTGAGATTCACTGATTTTAGCCTAGAGGAGATTAATCGAAGAGTTGAGTTAAACGGACTATATCAAAGCCGATTAAAATTGGAAAGGATCACGCATTGAAAGTGAAGAGCAGTCACAAATACAAGCATATTAAGTCAGTTACCAACTCTTAGAACTGTGGCTATTGTAAGAAACTCTTTCGACTGCAAATCAATCAATGGGAGGTTACGTTTGCAGACTCGTGATTGCACAAAAACTGGACGATCACGAAACTCTTAGAACCGACTTCATTGTGTACATTTAGAATAGCAAACACATGTTTCGCAAATCGTAACCATTCCGGTGTATATCTATTATTCGACAAATGTTTTGGTTTCTTCATCGTGCAAAGTTGAGTATTTTAAAATTATTGCACTCGTGTGACTAGGAGTGTGTGACTGTGTAAATAACGACTCCTTGTCCTAAGATATTAGACGATTCATGTTATTCTGGTACTTGTCTTGCCCCGCCACGATCAGCTTTCTAGCTATTTGCGGGGCAAACTGTCCCTTTTATTTTTATGTAAAAAATGAAAGAATAAATTATTGTTGTTAAATCGAAGATGTCCCTAAAGTTGTATCTTTCTGCTGGTTCAACCACCAAACTTGAAACTGAAATATAAGACTGCGGAGGCCTTACCTAGAATTTTAAACGATCTGTGAATCGACTTTAGCACGCTGTTAGTACAAATTTTAGCAGTCCAGAGAATTTAAATGCACCAAGAGATCGAGTGAGTTGGATTCATCTGTCACGAACGCGAGACAAAAGAAAAATCTATCGCCGTTGTATAGATCCCACTCGAAGAAAAGGCTTCTTAGTCAGTTCTTAAGTACTAACATCTTACTTCGAAGTGAATTTCGAAGAGCTTTGCAAGCTCGCCACTGAATGTCGTAATTTCCGGAAATTTCCTCAAAGCCTGCTCCCAAACTTTGTCACGCTCGATGTCACGGTAAATGAGGTCAGAATTTATTCTCGGAAATTCCGGATTTTGTTTCTTACATTACGACCCATCAGTCAACGGATCAGTTCTCAGAATGATATCAGAATCATGAGGATCAACCAAGATGATTTGGCAGCGCAACGAGGAAGGTTAGTGACGTTTGTTAATAACAGTCTTTTAGAGAAATATCCATCATAGTCAAATGGTTTGTTAACCTCTTTTTCTTTTACTGAAAAGTTTAACTTGATACAGATGAACGGGATTTTAGGGTCAAAAATGCAAATAGGAGCTTTGTGTCATGAGAATTAACAAGACATCGAAGCCAACATTGTTTTTACGATATGTTTAATTTATGTGACTCAACATGTCTGCATGTGTTTCCAGGAATCATTTACTAAATAATGTCTTATAATCCACCAAGTATCAAATATAGTTACGCTACTAACATTCAGTTTGCCGCTTCTAGTTACCGAGAAGATCGATTTGTTGAGGTAAACCTGTGTACATCCTTGGGTTGGTGTTATTTGTCTTTGAATTATCATCACAATTCTTAGAGAAGGTCGACCTCAGTATGCTAATTCCGGTCTTGTGATGTCTAATGAACCATAAACTCTGGGTAGAGCGGAAGTTGATCATGTGATGACTATTCCACAGCAAAAACTTGAATCTGCGATGCATTGCTCTCTCAGCTTCAGATGAGAAGCCAGCCAAAAGAAAAATCAGAATTTTCCTCTTAGGAAAAAGCTGTTGTCCGTGACAAAGTGACAGAGATCTACCTCTATGTACGATTCTATCACTCAGAATAACATTTGTTTGTACCGTGTACCGTACATTCTCGGTAGACGGGAAAAGTGAAATGATTTATGGCCAGTTAGAATTTTCTTTTGCCAACTAAATTCAGTGTCTGTGTGAAATTATTCTGCACAGGTATGAGAAGAAGGCCAGATATAAAATAGTGGTTATAGGGCTAAAGGAGGATTTTTCAAGTCTGGCTAGTGTGTCACGAGGGTCCCCAATAGGGTTCTTCAATCCCGCCATCCCGACCGGAATTTTCCTTCAATCCCTCAATCCCGGCGGTTTCTACCGGCTAATCCCGATCCCGGTCATATTTTTTTAATTCCTTACCTCAGCAAAAATGATCCTTGAAGCTCCGTTTCAGATTCCAAGGCTGCAAATAACTAACGGGCAGTCGCCGGTCACGTTGACCGGTCCTACATGCTTTTGCTCGGACACTACCCGTTTTTGGCCGGTCAAATTTTAACAGTCGGAACTCTTGCGATAGTGAACCCAGATTGCACAGTAATCCTTTTACAACTAAAGAACAACTGAATCCAAGTCGGTCTGGCAATGAAAATTACAAGTTAATAATTTTACTACTCTTTACTGGAGATGCAGCCAAACAAACTCTCTTTTTAGATATCTTGACTTTTTTTGTTTTCATTACAGTTCAGAGCCTTTTTTTTTTAAAGTTACCGTTGTGAATGTTTGTTAGAGTAAAAGAGTGGTCGGATTCTCCAGGTTTTGGGCCTTTTGCTCGCTTTTTGCACTTTGCAACAAATGCTACTTGGAGTATTCTCGATGCAGCGAGATTATTCTTCGTGAGGGTGCTCAGTTT